CTTCGAAATTCCTAAGCTGTTGGGGGCTGTCAGAGTAATATCAGGGTTTGCGAATTTGGCCTCCAATTAAGATTGCCCAATTTTTTGTTGGTTTAAGATATACGATGGTTTTAGTGATTTTTCGGAAAACTTAAATTACAAAGTAATTCACAAAACTGATATTCTCAACCCTGTATTTGTGGGCTGTCAGAGTACTGTCAAAGATTGCGAATATTGCCTTCAAGTAAGACTGCTGAAATTTTGGTAGTTTTCGAGATGTGAAGTTTTTTCTGGTTTTCAAAAAAAACTTTTTTTAGAAAATTAAGGTTGAAGTTTCTCGAAATTTGCATTTTCCAACGTTGTAGTCGTGTAGTGTCAGAGTCCACTCAGGAGTTGCAAATCTTGCGTCCAAATGCGATTGCTCAATTGCTTTTAGTTTCCCCAGATGTGACTTTTCTTAGTTCATTTTCAGTTTTTTTAAACAACTTAAAAAAAAACTTCACAAAGTTTTATGGTTCTTCAAAATTTACATTAAAAATTGAATAATAAACTTTGCAAAATTTGTAATTACGAACCCTGTAATTGGGTGCTGTCAGAGTACACTCAAAGAATGCAGATCTCATTGTTCCGACTCTCGATACGAAAGTAAGGGAATATTTGTGCTCGGGGTGGGTTTTTTTTCTTCAGACAAATTTCGACTTTTTAACTAGCCATTTTTGACGGAATTTTTTTATATCATTCGAAAGCGATTGTTGTCCTGAGCTTAAATTTGAAAAGATTTTTCACCTGTGATTGTTTTTCGTAAAGTTATGAGGGTTTAAATATTGCCATTTTGACCAATTTGGGACAATTAGCACGCGATATAATTCGCGCTATTAACGCGTAAGCGGAGATTTAATCCGTCCTAGAAATCGTTCCAAATTGGTTGAAAGAAGCTTATTTGCCATAATTGATTTGTTACAAGGAGCAAAATCTATGGTTTTGTACTTTTTATGGCGTGCGGGGGGATGATTTTTTTAGAAAAATTTTCAAATTTTAAAAGAAAAAAAATTTCATTTTATTTTATTTTATTTTATTGTTTTATGTTATTACTGCTCCATAAACGTTAAAAGGCAATCGGAATTTTCAGGGCTTTGCCCTGATACGAGCAGTCTTGTTTCAATATATGTCGAGTTGTTAAAAGTTCGGAGTACCGGAGGTGCGTTACACGCTAGTATCATATTAAAGCCCTTTCAGTCGTAATTATAATGACATTAAAAAACGAGAAAAACCGGTTTGAAATTTTTATTTTTGGTCTAATTTTGAGCTAATTAGTAAGATAGTTAATAATTACAATAGCTTAATTGAGCTTAATTTAAGCCGTGAAAATTTAGTTTTACTCAGGTAAAGGTAGTTTTGGAGTTTTTTAGCGCAATTTTGGGAATTAAAAACTTGAAAACTCAAAAAATTGCCACAAAAATTTTTTTTCAGAATTTTATAATTTTTTTCGTTATTCTTGTCACTTTTCTTCAAAAACTGTTTTCTAATTGACTTACTTTACTATGACTCTCAAATATGCGTAAGTTTTTTTTTTCTTTTTTTCGTTCAGATTTTTTTATCACAACATGCAGAAGAAAAAAAAACGACACCAATTTGAGAAAACATTTTTGTATTTTTTTTTAAGGTAAGTAACCGCACAATAAGCGGCTATCCTTGTTTTTTTTATTGGAATTGTTCAAGTGATATCATAAAGAGATTCTAATTTCGAGCAAATAAAGCAGCAAGCAGCATTATTATGGGGTGGTAACTTGTATGAGCCGTGAAAAGTAAGTTGCACTCCAGTACAATTGGTTTTCTTGTTGAAAAATTTTAAAAAAAGTTCATAAAAAATTCTGCAATTTTTTCTGACCTTTTGCTGTTCATTTTTTGAATAAAAATGTTCTCGAGTATGCCTATATTACTATTACTATAACTAATGAATATGCCTAAGTACTATTCAATCATCGTACCACGTACGAAAACGACACATTTTGAGAAAAAATAAAAGATTTGTTTTATAGTTTTTTATTATTCTGGTCACAACTTTCTGTGCTACTTGCACAGTAACCGGCAATCTTTGTTTCTCAAAGGTTCTTTTAGTACGTTTAGCCTCTTGAAGTTTGTTGGTAAAAATATCAATTTTTGGCCCAAATGTATGTTTAGTTGGTAACCAAAAACATATTTAGAAAACTGTGGAAGAACTACCAACTGAACTTAAAAGTTTTATATAAATTTGGAAAAGACAATAATTTTTTCCTTTATTGTCGCAATTTCAGGAAAAATTTTTGTTGGGTACGTTTTTCTATACCGGTACAACGCTATTGATAACCCAAATCAATTGTGAGCGTGTATATTTGTTCTGGACCAGAGAGTATAAAGGGTAAAGAACAGCTTCGCTCTGTAGCTAAGAAATCTATTTGCTAGGAAATTCAAAGTTCAGCTCTCTCTTGATTGGCTTTCATCCTTTTATGCCTGGTGCTATAGCGGCCTGTGCTAGTTCAGTATACCCTTACATCAATTGTTTTGAAGAATAAGTCGGCCAAATTGATGCGTGTTTTTTTTTGTGTGTACGTGTGTGTGTGTGCGTGATTGGGGGGATGGTTAGTTTATCCATCTATATCTCATTTTGTGAATAGAATGGAATGCAGCGCTTTCTAGTTGCATTTCTTTTCCCTTTGAACCATTGGGTTCGCTACCTGCCTATCTCTTCATCTCAAAACACTCGAACACTGCGTTGAATAGAGCAGCTAAAGTGGATGGAATGAATTGCAAAAAATATACGAGCTCCTAAGTGCTATTTTTTGAATAAAATCATTTTTTAAAGACGCGCCGAAATAGTGTTTTTCAAGACGGTATAAATAAAAAGTCCATATCGTGGGGGCGTGATGTTTATTTAGCAGTTCTACCTCGTTTTTAGCCTGTAGTTCAGTAGTTTGATACATCAAATACACAACAATAACAATAGACATATTTTTGAATGCAATTGGCATTGTATTTTTCCGTCTTAAATTAAACCCGCTGTCTTGAATAAAATGAAAGCCCCTTTTTACCATTTGGTGGGCAAGGTTGAGATGTGATATTTCGTGTGTTGTTGTTGCATTTCTTACAAAAGACGTACTATAAGAAATGGTATTGCTTGCAGTTTACCTTGTAAATGTGGCTTGTTTTCCCCATTATTCGACTACATCTATTACCAGTTATAACCAGTAACGTTCCCTAAAATGCTGGAAAACCACATCCCTTGAAATCTTGTTTTTCTTTTTTTTATTTTGTTGACTTGCTTGGGTTCCTATTATCTATTATCAGTGGTCGTTATAGTTTATTATTAAATTCAAAATAAGCCAAATTTGAGCGCTTTTTTTAAAATTTGCAGTAATAAGTATTTATTTTTTTTTACAATCAAGCAAATTGGATGCTTAAGTTGTTGTTTTTTTTTGCTCTTTATTCGCACTGATTACTCTATTGATATTTTGATTTCGTTGAAATAAGTTCTGAAGTACTGTTGTGTTAGCACAATCCTTGAATAGCTGAATTAAAATTCTCAGTGTGTTTATTATATAGCAGCTTTATATGTCAATTTACATATTTTTACTCTGGGTTGAGATTGTAAATGCATCAAATTCGCGAGCTTATACCCTTCATTACGGGCTCTTTGATATCTCTAAGCAACTATCACAATTGAGAAACAAAAAGCACTCATCTTATATCTCGAAATTCAATCTTTATCTGTGAAATTCTCTTTGAAAATTGCAAAAACAATATCTGACGACAGAACGACAGCGTGTGAATAAAATAACCTTTTCAGATTTTTTTTAGTTTTTCACGTTTTCGTCGTTCTGAACGACTCTTTATCAAAGCACTTGATTTTTTAAATCTCAACTTGTTATCAACTGTAACATGTTTTTTGTTTGCAGTAGAGTTTGTTTATTTTCTTGTTGGCGGGTGCCGTCTCTGCTAGTAATATTTAGACACTAATCAATAACTTCCAAAATGCACTCTATGACTCTGTAGCGATCCATACAAACAATCTCAACTTTCTTTTTTCTCTTTCCATCTCTTTCTCCGCGTGAACAATTTACTCAGTATCCATCATTGTGTTTTTTTCTATTCGTTTTCTACCATTAATTGAAGGATGCATTGGTGTGTTTGCCTGATGCTGCTAGCATAGAATTGTTTGGTTGCTTTGCTATCCTTGTCTGAAGTATTAAGTTGTCTTCCCCCATTTTGGTTCAATCCACTTTTATGGTACACAATAAGTGTAGCTAATACTACCCAGAAATAACTACCGGGGTCGTTTCATTTCAGTCTGCGGAGTTGACTGAGCTTTTTGTCTTGTTCTGTCATAGAACCTTACTTGTACTTTGTTTTTTAAGACTTGGATAGTTAATGCAGTTTTCCCTGCTCAGTAGTTATGATCTTCGACTAAAGGATACGCGCCCTGGAAATGGGCTCCCTCCAATTTATCATTGCCATTGCCTGGTAATTATGATTTGGAGGGCAACCTATTAAAAATTAGACAATTCATAAAGTAGACATGTCATAAAGTAGACAAATACTAATCAGAACGGAGACAAGTACGAAAAAATAATTATTCATTGTTCTTGCACTCCGATTTGTTGGAAGGCCATTTCTAGTGAGTATCCTTTAGTCCAAGATCATAAATACTAAGCAGAGAAAGTCGCATCAACAAGCTAAGACTTCAAAAAAAAAACAGAACAACTAAAGTTCTATGACAGTATCATACATATACTCTTTGTGTTATTCTTGTGACCGATTTGTATTTTTGGAACTCGTCTCAACATGTATGACCGATCTCATAATGACATACATGTCCACCATGAGACATTTGGAATTGGCGGGTGGTGGTCAAACTCTCCGGATTTTTTTTTACTTTGAAGCGATTCCTATGAATTGTCTTATCTCAATGGCCAACCGCAATTTTATATCAGATCAAAGTTTTGAGTGTTCTTCCAGGAGATTAATTTTTAATGTTATTTTAGATTAGATCATGAGCAGCACAGGGGAAAAAATGCTTCCATGGCTGTAATATTTAACATAGTTGCAGGAATTATTTTATATGTCTACGTCATATAATTACATTTTATTTCCGACTGTTTCTCTGGACTGGACACCAAATTTCTCATATTAAACTGAAATGCAAATGAAAAATCGAAAGAAGAGAACTAAATTCGAAGTTTAGCCTAGCCCTCTGTCAGCCCGATGCATAGAAATTGACGCAAAAGGTCACCCCAATGAATTCTATATCTCTGTGATTTAATCGTGTTGCGTTGATGCAGTTTGAGGGATCGCATTTTATAATTTGATCACACTTTCGAAAAAAACCATCTTCAACTTTGCTTCGCGTCTTCTTCTAATGGCCTTTCTCTCAGTTTCAGGTGCGTAGCTTTAAATTTTTGTTTAGAAAATAAACATCAAATTGCTTCGCGAAGAGGAAAAAATACAAACTCAGATTTGGATGATGTATAAATATTTGTTCGTGCAATCAAATTAAACGAATTTCGTAAGGTTTCTAAACAGCAAACCTTGATTTCATGAAAGTAAAGTTGAACTATTTTTTTCAAAATCACTTACCGCTTTTTTTCCTAGTTTGATTTGCAAGTGTTAGCAAATCGGGTGTTAGACATATTTTTTGTGATACAATAGCTGAACGAAACCAGCTGTCCTGAAACGAGCCATTGTTCCGACCATTCAGCTAAAGAGTTCAGAAGGCTATTTTGTCGGAATGCTGATTTAATGAGTTGAGCTGCCGTGATTTGAACTGTTTGATAGATCGAAATTATTTTTCTATCTTTTTTGTCTCTTGACTATTGACTTTTTTAAAACTGAATTTTTTTTTGCTGTATGCAACTTTTTTTGTGTAGTTGTTTTTAATGTTTTCATTTACTCCTGAAATTTGTAATTATACTTACCTTGCTTCCTATATATGGCTTATATTTTATCGTCTTACTAACCTAATTTTGGATCGTTCGAGTGAACGCCGATGAATATGTTTCTGGACGTGTTTTGCGTAAATATAATACATTCAGGACAACTTTTTGAGGCTCTTTTAGTTGTCGTTTCTTCGAAAATTTTTCCGTTTTCTTTGGATTTAGCTGCTTCCTTTCCTTTCCTGTCGGCTAGCTTGCAATGCTATTTTTGTGATATCTCAAGTGATGGTAATTTCTGTGGTAATTCAAAGTCTTTTTTGCTTGAAACCATCTGTCAATTCTTAATTTTTTCAAGTTGACATTGTGTCTCCTGTATGCGAAGCGCAGCTTGACCTGTGTTAAAAAAGTTTCGTGTGGTTTTGATTTCGTATTATGTGAGCTATGCTCTTAAGATAGTGGCTAGTTGGGTCTTCGGTTTCAATTGTGATAGATGAATGGTTCTGGTTTGACTTCTAGCTTCAGGTCTGCTACCGACTAGCCTAACTTGGTTAAGACACCTTGTAAAGCACCGTTGAGTCACGATAATTCTAGAAAAAATAACTCAGTTTTTATGAGACGAAATGATAAACCGGACTGACCTTAGACAGGCCTCCGGCGAGATTTTGATTGGCGCTTTAGATCGAGATCTACCTCAAGACTATCAAATAATACAAAACCGCCTTTAATCAGACAGGCTCGCAGCCCTTTTTTGATGCTGCGTTATTCACAGAAATTTAATTACCGCTTTTTAAGCAGGGAACCGCCTAACTTTGATACACTGTTCATGTTTTAGAATTTCAAAAAAAAAGAGGAGGCAAAGGGAAATTTATGATCAGTTTACATACATGATTAATTTGTTTATTATTAAGAGTCGATGGACGTAGCTCATATTCTTATGTTGGTCGCGATCAATTTTTCCTGTTTTTTTTAGGAAAAGTACAGGCTCAAAATTAAAATTTGTACAGGCTCAAAATTAATTTTTCCCGGTTTGAGTTTTGATTTCTTTTTCAGCTCTGTTCATTTCCTTTTTCAAAACGAAGACAAACTCCATTATCGAACAGGAAAAGGGTAAATGTCACGAAAATTGTGATCAACTTATAGTTTCAAAATTGGAATTTAATTTTCAGATTTCCCAGCGAAGGTAGAATTTTGTATTGATCCATTTTTAAAATAAATTTATGGGACTCACTAAAATGTCAATCATAAATTGTTCTATAAATTCAAAGAGCTTTAAGGCCCGGTTTGATTTTTGATTTCCTTTTCAGTTCTGGTCATTTCCTTTTGTAAAACGAAGACAAACATCATTATCGAACAGGAAAAGTGTAAATGTTACGAAAAACGTGATCAACTTATAGTTTCGAAATTATTAATTTTCAGATTTCCCAGCGAACTGAAAATTTTGTATTGATCCATTTTTTTAACTTACGGGTTTATTTCACTAAAAAGTGTCAATCATAAATTGTTCTACAAATTCAAAGAGCTTTAAAGACATCTTTTTTCTTTGAAATTAGTCTGTTTTTTCTTCTTACCTTGTGTTCATTGACACTTGCAATTGTCTGTTGGCAATAAATCGCTAACACAAATTTATTTTAGAATAAGGGCTAAACCGAAGGTTAATAATTTTAAGGATTACTAAGTTATGGCTTTTTTACAAGAGCTCAACTTGTAAGTTGGAGCGCACGTGCGAATTGAACCCGCAATCATATGATTGCTAGACACCATCACTACCGATGTGATTGCTAGACACCATCACTACAACGCCACTTAACTGTACTTCTTTCGATATACTATGAAGGAAGGTCGCTCATCGAATTTCGCTTTGGTGGATAACCACTAAAAAAGGGAAAACAAACGTTCAGGGGGTCATAGACAGATTTGTCAAAAATTCGCAGATTCAATTTTGTACGATTTTGCTTCATTTTTGATGAATTTTTCGATTGTTACTTTTTTTAAAATCTCTAAACCTCCCCCTAAAAAAATCCTAGATCCGTGCTTGCATAGATCCTCTGCAAATCTTAGAAACGGCATTTACTGTAAGTGGTGCAAAACTCCGCCCTGCTTTTATCTTTGATTTTATTTTGATAGTTTTTTTTATTCAATGATAAACCCTAGCATAAAAGTTAAGCCTTTTTTGCAATTAATCATTTGTAACGAGACTACAACTTGAAAAGGTTCCTTTTTAAAGCATGCAACCGGGAATTGATTGGGCTAAACTATCATTATATTGCTTCAGCGTGATGTATTAAACGAATATCTATTTTTTTTACAGCGAAGGGAAGGTTGAAATTATATTTGTGCCCAAATATAGACAAATTTGTTTGCTTAACTGAATAACTTTTGTTTCAGTGAAAAGAGGGCAACTCGTTGGAGCTCCAGGTAATGATTACATTTGATTTTCGTTTTAAATTATACGGAACTAATTTTTGTTATTTTAATTTGTATAGTTATGATTTTCTATTTATAATTTTTTGTGTTTTTATTGTAGAACGGTTCAACACTTACGTTACCTTGAAGCTTCTCAGCGTGAAAAGCACTACAGTATGTGTGAAGGGTTCGACTCCTTGTTGGGAGCAAGATTTCATGTTTGAAATCGATCTGCCCCCCTCTAATAGTTCCCAAAACCAATCCTCTTCTGATTCTCCAAACGGACTCTTAGTTGAGCTCTGGAACAAAGGAGTAATCTGGGATACTATCATTGGCTATGTCTGGATCCCACTGCAGAAGATTCCCGGATACATGACGCAGAATGAAAGCGGAATAGTTGCGAAAAACAACGGGTCCCACCCGGATTCGATCCTCCCACATGCCCCTACTTGGTTCAACGTGGACGCCGAGTTGTCGCTAGGCGCCAATGGGACTGACGTGAAAGGCACAAAACTGACGACTGGACACAAAATATTCTTGGATATAAGATTCGAAAGCAATTTAGACGGTGAGTCAGTTGCTAACCAAATTTAACTTGAGTTCAAGGGCTGTTTCGTAAGTTTCGACCGCTAGATGAAAATATATTTGCCGGTTTTCTCTTTGCTTTTTTATAAATCAAAAACCGGTTTCCTGGAATCGGGTTAATTTCATCAAATACTTTACCCCCTGCGGACCTGACTGACCTTTTAATTTTTCTTAAGGCGCCGTTGGCGCCAATCTATACTGATTTTGAGGAGCGCGCGCCAAAAAAAACGCAATTTTTTGGTCGAAATTTTCCAAAAAGTGCCTAAGAACGCTTTTTTTGGCCTTTGGGAGAGCTCAGAAAATCAATTTGATCGACATTAAAAAAATAGTTAGACAAAATTTTCATTTTTTGAAAATCCGCCCCCCTCCCTCTAAAAATTCCTAGATCCGCGCCTGATGTGTGATATGATTTATATATTTTTTTGTTTTTCCTGTTTTAAAAGCAGCTGTAGTGAGAAGATAGTTTAATTTGTTTTTTAAATGTTAAAAAACGAAGTGAAATCGTAATTGTATTTCGTTGAATTTAATTGAGGGATCCAAAACAGGTGATATGTTACAATAGGTGGTAATTTTAAGTTTAGTGCATGTATTAATGTACATGCTGCTAAGATAGTTTTTGTGAATACAGTACTCTACCAGATAAAAGTGTTAGTCAAAAACTCAAATTTTTTCTCTTTTGCCAAAAATTTTGGCTTTTGAAGCAAATTATAAATTCTGTTCGAAGTATAACAAAATGCGATCCAGCTATTTCGCTTGAACCTGCCATCTATTGTAATATATCACCCCGAAACAATCTAAAAGGATCCGATAAAACTAGTGAATAACGAGCAAATTAAACGGAACTCAGGAACTGAAAAGTTTTTTTTCCCACCCAAGTATCTCAAAATAAACCGCCAATTCTTTTGCCAATTCTTTCATAAAAGTTATGGGGCAATAAAATAGATGTTTGTGGATCAAAGCTACCGGCAATCAAGTCTTTGTGTTACCTCAAGACATAAGGTACGTTTTTTAATGAATCCCCTCTCATTTCATAAATGTTTGACTAATTAAAGCCATTCGTTTTGACATAGGCAGCAAAAGTTTCACGAATTTTGATCATTGGATTGGTTTTTTGTTGATATATTTTTGCGGTTTTTTGAATTTTCACTTCATTTTGTAGTGAGCAAGATTTTGAAGTGCTGATTTGAATAAGCCGAATTGAATGAATTTGAAAGGACAAACTTTTAAAATTCGCTTCTCTCAAACTCGGAGGACAAAAATTTTTGGATGTATGATTTTTAAGCACATTGGATTTATGATTTTTAAGCATTTTTAAGATGCAATTCAGTTTGCTAAATTCCAAACCAAAATAACTCAACTAAAATGGGTCAATTCAGTTGGTTCAAAGTTAAAGAGGAAAACAGGATAAAATGATGTACGAATAAATTAAATTGAGGATTTTCCTCCTTAATTTTGAACCAAATGAATTGACCAGTTTTAGTGATGTTTTAGAGATATGAACGTTGTGAAGACTCGTGTATAGGTATTGTGAATGTTCATGTTTTTTCAGGATAACGTCTTAAAACGCTCTAATAACTACAGATTAATGCATATATGCACTTAAGGCATATAAGCACTTTTTGAGTTCAATTGAAATCCATTTGCTGAAAGTTACATAAATAGCGCTCTCCAAATACGAACGGGAAAATGGCGCGAAAGAACGTGAACAATTTCTAGTTTCGAAAATGGAATAAAAGCTGAATCTTTTGGTCCAGTTTTTTCATGTTGGGTTAATATTATCAAAAGGTTTGACTTCTGATTTCTTTTTTAGTTCAATGCATTTCTTTTCTTGAAGGTAAATTGCTCTGGCTAACAGCAAAAGTGTAAAAATCACGAAAAACGTGAGTGACTTCTTGTTTCAAAAATCGATTAACTTTTCTGATTTCTTGGGCTCATTTATCTTTATTCCATCTCTCCGTTGGCTCTGTTTAAGAGTCGATGAACGTTTTTCAGACACAAATTTGAGTATTATATAGGTCTTGATGTTTTTTTTTCAGGAAAAGTCTTCATATTATATAAGTCATGATGATTTTTTTCAGGAATTAAAATTTGTTCAGGCTCAAATTTACTTTTTCGCAGTGAGATTTTTGAATCATTTTTAAGTTCAGTTCATTTTCTATGTTAATTAATATATTTCAATTATCAGATTTCCCAGCGAAGTAAAACAACATTACATTTTGATCCTGTGTTCTCAAATGGGGTCAACTTGATTAAAAAAAGTGTCAATCATAATTAGTTCTAGAAATTCAATTCAAAGATCTTAAACGCCATCAATTTTTTCTTCGAAATTCCGAAAGTTGGATGTGATTAAAAAAAGAGTCAATTTTTTTTGTAGCTTGTTCTCATTGACTGTTTTTCAAACGTCTGTTGGCTATGTTTATTACGTTGTATTCAATTGTCAAAATTTCTCAATCTGTTAAGGTTTGCTGTAAAAATCAAATTTGCATCATAAATATAAATTACAAAACTAGCAAGTCTGAATGGTAAACTATACCAAATGATGGAAAAAATAACCATTGCTACTTGTTTTTAGCCATATACAACAATGCTAGTCCGACATTCGGTGTCTGTTTTTCATTGTTAAAGAAAGAAGTGATTGTCACTTATATTGGTCGTGATGATTTTTTTGTTTTAGTTTTGAAGAAAATTTGATTTTTCGAGGTTTGACTTCTGATTTCTTTTTCAGTTCAATGCATTTCTTTTCTTGAACGTAAATTGCTCTAGCTAACAGCAAAAGTGTAAAAATCACGAAAAACGTGAATGTTTTCTAGTTTCAAAAATCGATTAACTTTTCTGAATTCCCAGCGGGATTAGAAATTTACCGCAATCCAGTTTTCTCTAGTAGGTGACATCAATGATAAAAAAACAAGCCGCAATCTTGAACAGCTCTTGAAATTCCAAGAGCTTCAATATAATTTATTTTCCTTCTTGGAATCTTAAAAAATGCTTAGAAGTTTTAGTCAATTTTTTTTGGTTTCATTGTTTTCTTAACTACTTCCAACCAGCTGTTGACTACGTTAGAGAAAATTTTACGATATGCTCCTTTTTATTTTTTCAACTGTGCTTAAAATACATGACCGTTACGTAATGAAGACTCTTTCAAAGTTTCACGCTCAGTTTTGATTTTTCGAGGTTTGACTTTTGATTTCTTTAGGAGCTGTTCATTTACTTCGTTAAAAGCAAGGCAAACTCTACTAACGATCAGAAAAATTGTAAAGGACACGAAAAAGGTGATCGACTTCTAGTTTCGAAAATAGAATTTACTTTTCAGATTTCCTAGCGGAACAATTCATACTTATTGGTCCAGTTTTTCTCAAATTGAGTTAATTTTATCAAAAAAAGTTTCAATCATAAATCGTTCTTGAAATCAACGATTTATAGGGCCTTATAATTTTTTACTTTGACATTCGAAGTTTGAAGATTCTCTAAAAACAGTCAATTTTTTTTCGTTTCGTTACGTTCATAACTCTTTTCCAACTGCAGGGGAGCAGTGGTGAAGTGGTTACGTCTCCGCCTCTCGATCGAAAGGTGGGATGATCGAGGCCCACCTTGATCCGTGCTCGTGTCTTGAGCGTGACGTAAAATCACCCAGCCCAGAAAAATAAAAGAAATTGCATGTATAGTTCTTAAGCAGGGACACAACAGCGGTTCGCCGTGATGTGCTGTACAGCTCGTATGCTGGTCCTTTCCCTCGTGGATAAATGGTCTTTATCTTAATCTTAATGTTTGTCAATATAAATTAATAGCGAAATCAAGAAAAATTTGACTATTCAAATTGCAAAATTCTCCCTCTGAATATATCTCCTCAATAAACTTATAATTTTCAATCGAAGTTGAAATTTTTGTTCTTAATTGCTAGTCACTGATTGAACTTTGACGTAAAAAGCTTTTTTTTCTGAATTAGGAAACCCTAGCATGAAAGAATATTGAACAAAGCATCGGCTTTGATTTATTCTGTTGGGCGAAATTGTGCCTTTAGATGAGACAGGTTTATTCTTTGATGAAAGCAGGTTTAGTCGGACGAATTCAACACAAAGGTGACAGATTCGATTTGGACTGCTTAAGAAGTATCTCCCCGATGTTAATGTGCTAGATAACATGGGCTTTCCTTTGAACCGGGGAAGTGCAGTTACCCCCCTCTGAAATTGCTGCTCGTTCCCACGGTGCATTTGAGAGCTAGCGGCCACCAGGAAACATCTACATCAATTTTTTTATTTGTATGTAGCCTAACATTAACATTTTGGAGCCAACTTTGGGACCCATTTTTGAACGGTCTGGCGGAATCTCCAGTTCTTTTTTCTTTCTCCCCTCGCACTTCCGAATTTTTTCTAGTAAATATTTTGTTCACAATGTCTGATCGTTACAAAAATTGGCATGCAGACCAATTAGGCCACGACAGACACATTTGGTCCTCATATTTAACCTTGTGAAACTCCTCGTTACACCATAAAACTGATGCTAATGAAAGGTGGGGGGGGGGGGGGGTATGGGAGAGCCGAATGCCCAATTTAGTTGAAAATCGCCAAAAATGTTGAAACGAAAACCGTAAAAATTCAGGAGACATTTTTTCAAGAAAAAGTTTTAGAATTTGTTTGCGCTCAATTTTGAGTTTTATCCGTTTGTCTTTTGATTTTCTTACTTTCACTTCAACCTCATTTGCTATAAGGAAGACAAATTATGCTTTCCGATTTAGAATGAGAAAATGGCGCGAGAAAGTTTCTAAGCAAATTTCTAAGGATCAAAATTGATCCTGTTTTCTCAAACTGGGTTAATTTTTATCAAAAAGTGTCAATCTATAAAGCTTTAACTCGATACATATTTCTTTGAAATTCTTCAAAACTAATCTATCATTTTTTCGGCTTTCTTGAGATCATTTGCACATTGTTGACTTGTTACGCCTAAGTAAAAAATTTGTTTAACATAATCTACGAAACCCTTTTTTCT